TCAGGATGTCAGAGGATCTGGAAGTTGTGTATTTTAAGAAAAAGCTATGTGAACTGTAGAAAAAATACACTAAAAAGAGACACACTAATTGTAGTCAACTATTTGAGCTGACATGTAGACAAGGAAGGGAGATTATCTTTTGTTGTTCTATTTAACGGAAAGAGCATGAAGTGATAGAAATTTCAAGAAGAAACATTAATTTGGCATAATGATGACGTGTCTCACATATCAAAGCTGTCAGTCAACGGACTGGAATGCTGCCTGACACAGTGAACTTCCTATTTTTGGAAGTACACAGGCAGAGGCTGGCCGATTCTTGGTCAGGAGCTGTGAGAGAGCAGTCCCACACTGCGTAAGCGGTGGGAAGGAAGGGAGCTCCTGGTAGTGTACTGCTAACTCCACATCTATGATTCTGGTAATGCATTTGCAAGTGATTATATGAGAATGTAGATATTGCATAGATTTTATTTTCTCCTCAAAGGAAGCAAGAAAGATCAGGGTGGAGTTAGAGGGTAAGTTACCTCATAATTATGGGGACCAGTCTAAGTTAAAGTCGGAGAATCATTCCAGAATAAATACGGAAATTCTATGAAGGGGTAGGAGAAGGGCCCAGGCTGCTGGAACTGGCTTAGGACTCTGACCACAATTAGGGAAGCCAAAGCATGTGGCAGAGGAGAGACTTTACTGAGTCACACTATTAGAAGCTGGCGTGTGATGAGACATTAGTCAGGACTCTGGGTTGCAAGTGATAGAAATCCCAGCTCAAGCTGTGTTAAATTAAAAGGAGACGTTGACTTTGAGGTCAAATTTCAGGCATGGTTAAGTCCAGATGTTTCAATCCTTATCTTCTTTCCTTCTTCTTGTTTGTTTTCCTCTGTGTGTCTTACATCTGCCATCTAGAGGTGTGCCTGATAAGTATCTAACAAAGATTTACAGCTTGACAACCTTAGCTGAAGTCTCCATAGCCACAGCCCCAGATGACTCCTCTTTGGCCCAATTTGATCCTGTGCTTTCATTTAAGCCAATCCCTGGTTATAGGGATAATGGCCACTGGTGGAGTGGTGGACCTGGAGATCAGTAGGTCTTGTTCAACTTCTCTCTCCATCCTTTCTTAGACTCCTTTGGGGAACATCTTTTTGTGTTCTTCTCTCCAATGAGACTGGCATCAGTACTAAGTGTACAGACTGCAGATAATAAATGTTCTCTTTCCTGTGACCAGAATGGCTGTTGATAAAGTGAATTATCTAAGCCTTAGCATCTCATTTGAGAACTGTGCAACAAAAGATTTAAACAAATTTGAATCTCGGTATATTGCTCCCAAATAACTTTCATGTGCATAAAAGTAGGTGATAAAATAGAAACTAAGAAATTCATCCTAATTACCCTAAAAAGTTATTCTTTCAACTTTAGAATGCAATTAAAAGAGTAAAATTGAACAAAATTTTCCTTCAACAGGAATAATTTTTTTTTTAAAGCCAACTGAGACTGTGTAGTGAAATTGGTACAGAACTTCACAGCAGGTTATCAGGATAACAGTAATAGGTATCACAGTATATTTTGTTATCTTTACAATAGTTGTTTTTTTCAATCACGTATATCAAAATAAAATGAAATACAGAACATTACACAACTTATCAAAACAGAATATTGAATAGAGTAGTACCATTAATCAGAATAGAGCATAGAGTAATAAAAATATTGGCCTTCAAAAAGATGGTAGAAGAAAATCTCCCTTATTTGCTATGGTCAACCTCCCAGGAGATGCTCAGAGTTCTGGTTCCCATCTGCTAATGGGGGGACAGGGATAGGGAGGTAGAGGTAGTGGGATGTTTGACTCTAGGCTGTGCACCAGGAGGTTCACTTCTGCTTAGCAGGGAGGCAGGCTGGTTGCTTGGTTTCCCAGCGTCCTAAGTTCCAACATGGTGTGGATCTCAAGGAGACGCTGGTGGTTCTCCCCCTGGAGGGGCCGCAGTCTCAGGAATAATTTTTTTTGTGGAAAACTTGTCTTTCCATTATAGGTATTAATGGTAGGGGAAAATCTGACTTCTACCACTGAAACAGAGTCAAGGATGGTTAATATTTTAAACATTCTTACCCCCGATTCTGGCTTCCCCTATGATCACAGTCTACTCCAAGGGAAGCGCAGTAAGTAGGCCTGGGCGTGATGTTGGAAATGTCACTGAGAAGGAACTGAAGGAAATCAAGATTTTGCAAGTAGGCTTTTCTTTTGAAATACACGGGAAGTTGAATTTTCTCAACTGCTAGAATATTTCAGTGATGTGAGCTGGCAAGAATAGGATGGGAAATATCCTGGTTCAAAGCACTATGCTTTTCTAACAGCAAAAGGAAATGGTTTTCCTTGGAGAACATTTCCATTTTATGCCTTACTGACAAACAAACTAACACAATCTGTATGGATCTTTTTTCCTTTCAAATTTAATTCCACAGAAACTGAAATATACTCATGTTTGATGTAAAGTTAAATGTGTTTTCCTACCTTTTCACTATTTTTTAACCATGTCCTGCCCCATCTTTGTCATAGGATTACCTCCTGAGGGATACTGTATGACATACAATGATCAAAACACTCTGAAGAAAGATACCTCAAATGAAAACAAGACTGCCACTTTTTTATAGGCAGACCTGGCATGAAAGTCTGAGAATTAATAAAGAATTAATAGAGACTACATTGATAAATATAATCCCAACATTCTGAATGAAGAAGACTTAGACACCATTTTACTTGTGTATATATTTACCTTTTGTTAAATCTTGTGTTCTCTGTTAGCTTCCCAGAATTGAGGTGAGATACTGTTGGAAGGAATAAAGATGATGATGATGTTGTATTGTGGTGTAACCAGAACATGTCGAGAAAGTTTTGCGAGTGCTGTTTATTTATATTCTGTTTTTACATAATGTCCAGATGTTCGTGTTATTCTTACCTGTTATGGCAGATGGCATTTATGGTGGTGAATGTGTATATAATTAACTTCTTGCAAATACAACATTTTGCAGATAGATGGGAAATCTACTTAACAAGACTAGATAATTATAATTTTCTATTTAGAAAGTCTAATTATCTATATATTAGAACCGTTAGTACCAAATGAAATGATTGGGTTAAAGTACACAACTGGCAACAATTTTATGGGTTTGACAAATGATCTTACCTTATAAAGGAGAGGGAATCTGTCTTGGAGATGAGCTGAGAGGACTGCTTGTTCAAATTTTCCACTTTTCTCCTTGTAGCATTTTGAAAGTGCTATTAAAAGCACTTTCCACATGAGGAAATTGTAGCTTAGTACCTTCAGAATCTTTACAAAAATCACTTGGGTATTGAAATATTTTCTTTAGCTTGGGATTTAAATTATAAATGCAATATGTAGAAAAGGGCAAATAGAATATTTTATAAGCTTTAACATTTTTTAAAAACTGGTCTTTAAAAGTTTTTCTTGCAGTTCTTAATAGATTCATCATGGAGAATTGTAAATACAAAATACTGTTTCTAGCCATAGTTTAAATTTGGAGTTTTTCAGGTAGCCATATTTTTCATACAGGCTATACTCAATGTGTTACCATTTGAAACCTCAGGGATCTCCCACTAAGCTGTACTCTACAATGAATGGTTAGTCAATATTCTTTAGCATATCTTTTGCTTAATAACTTGTTTTTGTTTGTGACTTTCTGATATCAGCTTTATAGGTTTCGCGTAATTTGAGAGCCTGTGCATCTTTTAGAAGGAAGGCTTGCTTTCCAGAATGTGTAATATTAACTTTCACCATATTGTGGCCAGAAAGATGCTGATGTACACTTACTAGAATTCATGCAGCTTAGTTAAATTTCTGGTTGACCAAGTTTGATTTATACAGACCCTGTAAATGGTCCTTTGCAGATATTATATGAAGGCAGTAGAAATCTCTCCTTTCATTTTTAGAGTACATAAAATTCTAATTTATGATATTTGCTATTTTGGATTAGGCTTGTCTTTAGTTAATCTTGTTTTGAAACTCTAAACTTTAACATGAAGTAGTTTTTTCTAGTTGACTTTGTTCTGTATTATGGAAATATGTATTTTCATGGTGGCAGAATATCCCTAAATAAAGAGAAAGTATATACAAAGGTTTTGCTAATGGTAAAATAAATTGATGAAGACCAATCTTGATGAATAAGAAAGATCATTTTTCATAAATCCTGGCTTTCTTTCTTATCTTTTTCAGTTATATAAATTTCTGACTAGCCAATATGGTGGGTTATAAAACAATACACAAGAAGAGAATAATCCTATTTTTGAAAAAAAAAGAAATTATAAAGTAGATTACAAATACTGCACATTAAGGTGGAATGATCTCATTTTTTCTTTTTGAAAATAAAATAAAATAAAATCTTTTATTTAGTATAAATCAATTAGATTTTGCATTAATAATGATAGAATATATTAGTTAAGAAGTCACGTTTCTAAAATAATAATTAGTTAAGAAGTACATATTTGAAGATCTCTGTTTTGAACCTACAAGTAGCTCAGTTACTTTGTGGAGAATGGTTAATGAAAATAACATTAATCAGTCATTTGAAAGAATCCCTATTTGAAACACTGAAAAATGGTAATATGGTTATTTCTGATACTTTACTGGGTAGGATTTGATGAAGGAGAATAACAATCTGGTGAACAATCTCTTGATGAAGTTGGAAATGAGGATTTACAAGGGTGGTGATCCTGGAGTCCGGGGGTACAGACAAAACCATGCCAAGTGCTGGCTTTTATTGTCTGGACTATTTAGTTGGATCTTTTAGAAAGGTGAAGGGATAATTTGATCATTCATAAACTGATAATGGATAGACTTCATTTGAAATAGAGATCATTTGTGAAACTGAATAACAAGAGTAACCATAAAGCAGTAAATATTTCAAGAAAACACTTTCACTAAATAAACATTGTATCTCCTGTTGATGGCTCTGTTTTCACTGTGATTTGGAGTTCACCATGGCTTCCCTGTCCCCAGGTTCCTGTTGGCTCTGATTGCATGTCGAGAATGAATACTGCACCAGAAGGCTTGCAGCAGTTATTTCTGGATGGAGGTATTAAAGATGACTTTTATTTACTTCTTTTCCCATTATACTCTCTAGACTTTCTGTTTTGAGCATTAATTTACATTTGGAGTGTGAAAAATAAACATGTGTAAGGTAGTGGAGTGCTTTGATCTTTGGACAGGATGAGCGTAGTGAACCTAATTCTGCCAGCTGGGAGCCTGCTGGCTTTGACACATTGGCTAGTTGGAAGGCAGACTTATACTCTTTATGAATGTGTCAAATACCTCTTCTCTAGTCTCACTGCTTTCCTAACTGGCTGAAACTATTAAATTATCAATGCTTAATTTACTGCAGGGACTAATTTGCTTGCCATGTAGGATTACACCAAACAACATCATAATTTGAATTAGAAAATTAGCCACCCCACTGATACTTGGATTAAGGACTTTAAAGCAAATAGACGATTCAAAAGTGAGTAGGGTTTCATTTATGTTAAGAAATACAAATTTGAAACAATAGAATTACTTTAGTTTTTAAAAATGTTTTAAAAGATTGTTTTTAGCTCACTATCAATATAAATATGCAGTCTCTGAATTGTTAAAAATTCAGATTGGCCTTATTGGTAGGCAAGATTCTGCCACATTTTACGTAGATATATATGTCCACAGGCATATATGATAGACAATCTTTTAAATGTTTTTAAAATAATTTATGTATACCTTGATTAATTAAAAAAGATTTGACTCAGTTTCTGTCCATGTCCTACTAAAGGGAATTCACTTTTCCTTCTCAAGCACACTTGCAATTAGTTCATTCTTATTTGCATTAGATTTTTCAGTAACTTTTATTTTATTTCATTTTATTAATGCCCTGAACTCTTTATCTCTCAACATATACAAAATTAAAATAAAAAAATCAAAGATCTAAACATTAACACAGAAACATTAATCTCCTGGGCGACAAAATAGGTAAAACTCTTGAAGACTTAGGAACAGGCAAGGATTTTCTAAACAGAACCTCATCTGCACAGGAAATAGCAAGAATTAACAAATGGGATTAGATCAGACTAGTAATATTAAGGAGAAGAACATAAACAGCCAGAAGCAGGATTGCTGAGTCGAATCAGAGGTTATTGGATTACAGTTGGTGATAATTCCCGTTCTCCCCAGAGTCTGAGAGCATCTATTTCACTGAAGGTCACCATGCTGGGTGTTACTGTTTTTACACATTTGAACCAAACTGATTGTGGAACAAGATCTCTCATTCCCACTTGCATTTTCCTGACTAGTGGTGAGCCTGAGCATATCTCCTCTGTCTACTGTCATTTAAATGTCTTCTGTCCTCTGTAATCAAACATTGCTGTTGACCATTTTGATTGATTGCTTTTTTCTTACCAACATGTGTTTTATGTATTTGATGAATAGAAACTTTTTATTAGCCATCTGGATTGCAATCTTTTTTTTACCATGTATCACTTGAATTTTTTCTTACATCTTTTGCTAAGCTAAACTGTTTAATTTTTAACATCAAATATGTGTCTTTTTCTTTATGACTTAAAAATGTCCATCTAGCTTAGAAAGACATTCCCATTTATAAAGATATTTTCCAACATATATTTTTTTAAATTTTAAATTCATTCATTAAGCTAGTAATTTGCTGTTGTTTGATGGTACTGGAGTTTGAACTAGGGCCTCACGTATGCTGGGTAAGTGCTCTACTATAGCTATATTATAAATTCTTTATTATATTATTTTGAAAGAAAGTCTTGCTAACTTTCCTAGGCTGGCCTTGAACTTTTAGTCTTTCTGCCTAACCTCCCAAGTGGCTGGGATTATAGTTATGTGCTGCTCTTCTCTGCTAATTCACTAATTTTACATGTAAACATTTCACTCGTTTGTAACTTATTTTTAAATGATGTGACATAAAAGTCTTAATTTTTTTCTTCCAGATTCATAAGCAATTGTGCAAGCACCATTTATAAACAATCACTTTTCCTGCTGAAATTTAGATGCTTTTATTCTGCTTTAGATGTTTATGCCTACTAAGAGAGATAATTAAAACACAAACCTGGAAGAATACACTTCATCACTACGTTTGGCTAATGGAGTTTTATGTTAAGAAACATATGGTTTTAAACAATATGCCTATTTTCACATAGACATGATCTCCCATTATGATAATAGCACTTTTTGTTTACTAATTACTCTTGAGATTCAAATAATACGTACTGTTAATTAGTGAACTTGTTCACTAGTTTTCATTCAGATAGTTTGAGTTAAGGTTGGTCCAGGAAAGATGTTTTATACTGTAGGATGGTTTTGAATATAAGTAGTCCATGTAGTATTCTAATCATAAATTTGCATTGTCACTCTAAATTGTAAATCGTAAAAGTTAGTGTATGTTTACTGCTTACGTCTTTCTTTAGTTTAGCCTGAGTTCAACAAATCATTGTATATAAGCAATTTACTCTTGGTTTCATGTTATATCATGGTATATATTCATGATAGTTTAACTAAATGAAGTCATATTGGCAATCTTTCTAGACATAAATATTAGCAAAAGTTGAGATTTTATGCTTTCATAAAGGTGTTTTTTTTAAAGTGGCAAAACTCTAAAGAAATATTCTTGTTCTCATTTAAGAAGGTAAATTGATTGAGATGGTTATTTATATCATTGTGGTAATTGATTGATTGGGCTGCATCCCACAGATTTAGATATCACCTGCACAACTGGGTTAGAAGCAGACATAAGTGAGATAATTCCAGAAACTAGTAAGTATGTATTGAATTATTTTATTATATAAATTTTTAAATAATCATAATTTTCTTCTCATTTAAAAATTTTAAATGTGAAGACAACTATAACTAACAAAAGTATAATTAAATTATTTTTCATGTTTCTAAGTAGACAAGTTGTGTTTTCCTTGTCATGAGGCCCATGGTAATCACCACTGCTATCCACAGTCTAGCTTTCCTCCAGCTGGACAAAACCTAAAATCACTCTTAGTATCCTCATGAATTATCTGTTGCCATATGACTTGCTCTAACTGATGAAATGTAAGCAGAAGTGACTTGTCTGCTCTGGTTTGATGTTTGAAATTATAGAACAGCTCAGATTTTCTTTTTAAATAGAGGCCTTTTATCAGTGTTTGGAAGCACCATCAAAGCAATTTTCAAATCCCATATGAACATATTTTAAACTCTACTCTCCTCGCTGTAAGGATTAGCATCCAGCAGCCAAATTTATAGCATTTCCTTGAACTCACATATTTGGCTGCTGTGCATTCATCACCTCACCCAAATCTGGGCCAGTGGAATCCACAATAGAAATTTGGAATAGGCATCAAGAGAAGTGAAGCCCTGGCTTTGGTGAGATGGAGTGACCTGGAAGCCGGTGGGCCCTGGTATGCACACATAACACAGAAGCAGAACACAGAAACTACTGAGCAAGTGGAAAGAAACACACATTTGTAGGGCAGCAGGCCAAGGGGAGGGAGAGAGAGGGGAGAGAGGAGAGAGAGAGAGAGAGAGAGAGAGAGAGAGAGAGAGAGAGAGAGAGAGAGAGAGACATGGGTGGTGGAGAGAGAGATAGAGAGAGCACGCTGATATTTCTTTCTAGATTCCTATCCTCATCTTTCCCAAGGACTCTGGGAGATACCTGTGTATTGCAGTAAACCACTCTCCCTTCTCTGCTTTTCTCTTAAGACAGTTTAAAGTGTGTTTCTATCACAACTAAAATTCCTTGTTACATCTGTATCCACGGCAGGTACCGCAACCAGCCCTTCTGCCAATATCCCTAAGATTCCAGGCAGCACGTCTCACTTCCTTTTGAAAGTCTCTGTTAGCCGTGGAAAGAGAGTGTGCAGCTCTGCCACACAACCTCTTGGAAGAATGCTCGAATCTGCCTGTTAATTATAAAAGCAAAACTGAAATAATATCTTAATCATCTGAATTGTGGGCATAAAAGGACGTGATCACTGCAATACAGTGAAGACTCTTGAGTTTTGCAAACTGTCTCAGACAAAGTCTGAGTCTATGATGTCCAAATCCACAGAGCACTATTAAAGCAATAATTTTGGAAGACTTCTATGTATGAGTCCTCATTACAGGGAAAATGACCCATATGGCAGAGAGCTTCTCTCTAACACTGCAGAAAAATTGTGGTATCAGATAAAAGGGCTTTGCTAGCCTTAAGGCTTGTTTCTACTAAAATAGAATTTAAGGGAATAGAGAAAACTATGCAGCATCCAAATTGGATGGAATAAAGATGAACATTTTCTATATTTTCTACTGAATGATGACCTGTCCGGATCCCAGCTCTGTCCTCGATGCTTTCCAAGAAAAGGCAGAAATTTGGAAATTTTCCAGTAGGGTTTCAATAAAACTAAAAGTATTTATTAGTGTCTGATGACCAATTAGTATCCCAGGGCCCATAGTAACAACTTTTTTTTTTTTTTAATTCCAGGTAAAGAGATATAAGCTGAGAAGGAAATGAGGAGTGGTTGGCTATGAACAAAAGTTGAAGTTTGAAGTTCGTAGTTGGTCCCATTGGTATTTAGCGTCTTGCTAAAAAGAAAGAAAAAAGAAAAAGAAAGGGCCAGAATTTGCTGAAATCAAGAAGACCCTGCCTAGCTCATATACTCTATTCATGACTATCTGGCTGAAGTATCATTTTTATTGTTCAATTTATTGTTTTCATTCAACAACTTTTTATCTAGCACATATTTTATGTCAGACTATACAGATCCTAGCATTTCAACAATTCTGTCAACTTATGTCTTTTTATCTAACATGAATTTGATGGTTATAAAATTAGTTTGCTAATAAAAAATTCACTGCATTTGCTTATACTCTGAACTGTTTAAAAAGAGATTTAAGAAGGTTCAAAACTATTTCAGTTAACTTCAAGTGAGTTGTCTTTAAATTATTTAAGCCACATTCATCAGAAGTGATTCTTCTAAACTTCCAAGCACATATACTTGTTTTCTTGTGGTTATGAAGAATGAAAATAGGTGCATGGAAAGGATTTAAAATTCACAGAAGAAAATAAAGTTTGTGTCATGACAATATATCTTCTAGAAGTTGAGAATGTCACGTGTCTATAGCATAAAGGTTATATTTGATTATGAGATGCATTTTTAATATTTAATTTTGAGTAGGTAATGTAAGTGCATGCCATTCAATTCAAAAGATGTAAAATAGTACACAGTAAAAAGTGAATTTTCTCCTTTCTCCTGCCCCCTTTTCCAATGCAATCAATATCTTTTATTTCCTGAGATAATTTGTGCTACTTCCAAATATAGGGGTATATATTGTGTGTTTATGAATACATTAAAGCCTTCATAAATTATGGCACATTTTACATCGTTTCACACCTACTTATTCATTAGTTGTTTAATGTGTTGTGGAGACCAGTCCTTTTCTGTACATGATGCTACTCCATTTTTAAATGACACAGTATTTTATTGTATGAATAAACTAGAATTTATTTACTAGTTACTTATTTGTGGACAATTTGGCTGTTTGCAATATTTTATTCTTTTTTTTTTTTTTGTCTTTTTGAGACAGGGTCTCTTTATGCAGTTCAGGCTGGCCTTGAGCTCACTTTGTAACCCAGGCTGGTCTCGAACTCGTAACGATCCTCCTAACTCAGCCTCCAGAGTGCTGGGATTACAGGTGTGAGCCACCATGCTTGGCAATATTTTGTTCTTATAAGAATGTTTCAACAAAGATTCCATACAAACACTTCTAAAGTACAACCAGAGTCAAAGAATCTGCCTATTTAAATTTGACAGACATCACACATTGTCTTCCATAAATGTGGTGTCAGTTTATAAATTAGACTATAACCTAACTGGTAACATTTGAAATTTCCTTCTACCAGTATTATATTCAATATTCTTGAATATTTTCAAATAGTTTGATCTTTGATCACCTAACATGGCGAATGGTATTTTATTATGTTTTAATTTGTATTCATATTGTTATAAATGAAGTTAAATATTTCTCATATATGTAAGAACTATTCATATTTCGTTTTTAGTGAGTACTCTGCCCATGCTGTATATTCCTTCCTGTACTGGCTTGTTGGTTTTTTAAAAACCATTTGGAGGATCTTTTTATTTATTAAAGAAATCAATTCTCTGTTCCAGATACGAGCTGCAAATATTTTTATCCAGTTTATTCCTCTTTTCTTTTATTGCTCCTAGATTTTGTGTCATATGCCATTCTGACTCAGATTTTTTAAAAAATTTTGCCTTTTTTCCTCTAACCACTTATGGTCTCATGTTTTGGATTTATATTTTTAATCTATTTCATTAGGAGGTGTGCAGTAAAGGCCTTGTATTTTTACTTTGTGCACTGGCTGGCTGGCAGCAGTAAAATCTTCACAGTTTTTCCCTTTACTCCCTGGTTGATGAACAAGCAGCCATGTGAGTTGCTTGTTAAGATAGAGTTCAAGTAGTGTGAGATGCTTTCACAGCATGAAGAATAGGTAAAAAGGCTTCTGCAGGAGCCAAAGAGGATTCCAATGCTAACTTTTGCCTATATCATTCTCTCTGTCTTTATTCCTGCACCCATATGTGTTGCTTTTGGTTTTTGTTGCTTTATCTAATTCCCAGATGTTCCTGTAAGGGTCTTCTACCCTCAGAATGAATTGGATCAGCCCTCTTGACCTTCTGTTGGAAGAAAGGAATGAGCAGACACAGAACACATATTTGCCTGGTGCCTTGATTAGTTATTCTGAGGTGCACATGAGGCTGGAGCTGTGTGCAATTTGACATTCCAGCTGCTTGGGCCTTCGAGTAGCAAGTGACCTCTTGGGGACCTCACAGGTGCTCATGAGGATTCCATGTAATTTTCTATTCATTTTGCTGTTGATTTAAACACCTGTTTGTCATAGGACATTGTTCAGAAGTTGGTTTAATATATCCCTAATGGATATACTTTATCTCTAGGTATAAGCATAACATTTATGAATAAAAGCAATTTGTTCTATGGGTTTCTCATTCTTTGCATAGTCTTTGGTCAGTGGGAATTTTAAAGACTGAGCTCCTTTTGCTTGTAGCAGCTACTTTTCTAGGAAGACACAAATGCTTTTTGTGTATTAAAAATAATCTTGGCAGAAAACTTGACAGAAAGCGAGTTGAAGCTGGCCTAAGGCATTGTTGACTCTTCTTTTCTCTTGCACACTCTCGCCCATTCCCTCAGCCTCCTTAGTCAGCCTCTCATCTCCCAGAACTCCAGATAGTCAACTTTCTACACCTTCATAGCTTTCCCTTTACCCGCTGGTTTATGAACCCAGTTGCCTCTCAGTCTTTTCAACCCCTCCTTAAAGCAATGCCTAACTTCTTGTCACTATTCTTATTCAAGTTCTTGGAAAAGTCCTTCACACTAGCTGCTTTCACTTGCTCATTTCTCAGCCTGTTGTCACACGGGTTCACTCCATCATCCCATTAATGTGACTCTTGCAATGAAACCCTTTAATTGCCAGTGCCGATGGATATTTTGGAGCCTCCATTCTTAGAACGCTCTACTGAATTTGTGCATTTGGCATTGCCATCAGCTCCTTCCTTCTGATTATGATATATCCTCCTTTTCTTATTAATCTTTACCTTTCTTGAAGGTGGGCTTCCTTTTCTTCTTTCCACTCCTTAATTATTAAACAGTCCTCAAGATGCTGGCCTGAACCTTTGTTTTAAATGCTTCATATACAATTTGTGGATGATATCATACATTCATTGGATATCAATCATTATACAATTAGAAATAGTTCTATTTATATCTATGTATATGGATTTAAAAATTCTTCCAAATGTTATGTTCTTACAAGCCTTCAAGCACGAATGAGGACTAGATAATTGCCTACATTCTATGTTAGCTCCCCATCTTCCTCTTTCATTCCATGTGATTCCACAGCGTTATCTTTCTCTCAGTTGCCCAAGGATTTCAGAAAGGCAATTCTCTTTTGTCTTCTCTTTCCCTCACCTTTATATCCATTGGTGCAGCACATTCTGGAAATTTTGTTTCCAGTGTCTTTTATGCTTCCATTTATGTCCTCACTATTTTCATCTGAACAACTTTTAACTAGGGACATTAATTCTGATCAGACCCCATTTTCATATAGTTACCGCAGAGATGTCTTAAAAACATCTTACCATGCCGCCCCTCTTCCCTTGCTCCTGTTGCGTATGGGACAGGGCCATCCCTGTCCTACAGCTGTGTTGTAGCATTGCTGGATATGGCCTTCCTACCTCTCTGTACATCTCTTGCTACTCTTTGCTTGGCAATTGTTTCACTCCCCAGGATGCAGAACAGCTGTAGTTTTCCTCTGGCCTCTGTTGCTTTGTTCAGGCTTAGGCATTAGTTCAGTCTCCTTCTGTCTTCACATGAGGTGATATTCCCTGTCCGCTGAGGAAGGCGAGGTCTAGTTCCCTGAGAAAAATCTCCCAGGGACTCCTATTTTGTAGGAAAGTCACAATATGCAGTTCCTATTTCTTTTTTTTTATTTTAAAGGGGGTAAAATTAAACACAACAAAGCAGAACAAAATAGGACATAAGAAATCAATGTAAGAGATATAAATTTCAAAGTTAGATGACCTGAGATCTTCACTATCATATTGTCTCATTTTCTTCCAAATAGTTGTCCATGTCTTCGCATACAGAGAATTCATACAAAACAACATAGTATAAAACTGATCCAAACAGAATGAGGAAGGCGTTTTAGGTCTTCAAAACCAGAAAATAGGGAAGTCACTAATGGCTGTCGTACAGTCTCTCATTCTCTTCAAAATAGCTGTCCATACTTCCATGTATATTGAAGCTCAACAAAATAGAACAGGCTAAAATAACACCATTAATTAGAACAAAGCAAAATGAGATAAAAGTATTTGCCTTTAAAGAGATGGTAGAAGGAAATCCCCCCTATTTGCTATATTGCCTATGGTCAACTTCTCAAGGGATATCCAGATCACTGGCTCCCACTTGCTAAGGTGAGGGTGTGGGGCTGGGGAGGGACAGGGAGGGGGGAGGCAGGGGAGATGTGATGTTTGATTCTTAGCCCACATGATGGCAGGCTCACAGTCCCTCACCAGGAGGGGAGGGATTGCTTGGTTTCCCAGTGCTCCAGGTCCCAATATGGCATGGGTAAATGCCGGTGGCTCCTGTCCTGGGCAACTGGAACCTGTCATGCTCACAGCCGTTCACCAAGGAGAAGGGGTTACTTGGTTTCCCAGTGTCCCAGGTCCCAGCATGGCTCGGGTCCCAGTAAACGCAGGTGGCTCCTTTCCTGGGCCTCCGCAGCCTGCCATGTTCACAACTGCTAACTGAGTGGGGAGGGGTTGCTTCAAGCTGTTTCTTTCTAATGAATTGACCATTTCACTGCCCAAGTTCTGAAATGGCCAACAGATCATAGAAAGACATCTCTTTAGGCTCCTGCTTGAAACCAACAGGGTCAGAAAGCTCCTGGCCTTGGTTCAGGGTCATCCAATGTCTATTTCTATCTGCTTTTGTCCTACTTTTTTCTTCTAATTAATGTTTAATCATTCCCCACCCTGGCCTGCTCTAGGCTTAAGGCAAAGAAAAAAGTCTTTAAACTGAGTATATATGTTTTAACTTACTCAACACTTGTTGAATTAATGTTAAATGAGTGTATTAATGAATACATGGGTTTCAGTGACTTTGTATACTTGTAAGTATGGCACTATTGACTCAGAAAATATCTCAGGAAACATTATTTATTAATAATGAGATATAATTATGAATTCTCATCCTTGTTTATACTTATTAAGAATCTGAAGCAGAGATTGTAAGAGAAAATTACATTTATCTGGATCCCACCCTTGGTGATATTTTCTTTAAAATTTGTCTCTTGGTGTTACTGTTTATCTTGAGATGTCAACTTTATTAGATTAAGAAAGGGAAAGAAAGTGCTCAAAAGGAAAGAATAACTGGGATAGGTGAAAGTAGAAAAGAAGAAAGGAAAAGATTATATGTATGTAGGAATGCACATGTAACTGTATGTATGTATATGTGTGCAAGATAGATAACCCTACTACCAATCTCTGTTAGCTCATCAAAAAGAAGTTGTGTCATTGTTTGATAGTTAGATCATTTTTATGCCTAGATCTTGTAACCTGAACAACTATTTCTAAGATAACAATATGCAATACATTAACTAGTGTTGATTTCTTACTGTTTTTTAAATTCTGTATTATTTCTATCTTTTTTTTCTGTTTTGCTTTATATAAAAAAAGAAACGCCTAGCAGATTAGTAAAGTACACTTCTGAGTGTGTCTAGATGGGCCATGAAAATGTGGTTTTGGATACTATTGATGATATCTTGCCCATTCCACATTGACATTGTTTCCTTGTTCTGTTTCACAGCCACCACAAAGTAAGCAGCCTTGGTCCACTATTCACTTCCTCCATGAAATTTCTGTCTTGTGGACTGCTGGCCATGTACTGAATATCCTGGAACCATGAGCTAAATGAAGCTTTTCTTAACTTATGCGTGCTGAGTATAATATGTCAGTCATGAAAAGGTGTGTAATGCAATTGGGGACTATTAAGCAAACTTGTATCTGATTGTGATGTTATTACAAGATACAGATTGAGAGGGGGATAGAGATTTTGGTAAATGCAGGAGTTAATGTTGAAGTGGCTTCTGTAAAATCTATTCCCAGGACTATTTCTAAACTGTTTTAACAAGCAAGTTGGCCATTTTTTAAAGCATTGAAATGTCATAGATAGCTTATTTCAGAACTGAATGTTACTGGGAGGGGGAACTTTGAAATTGTGGTACCTCATCATAAATTTCTTTGTGGAACAGTAATTCTATCGATAGCTCTTGAATTACTGTGTTACTTGTAGATTCTCTTAAAAGACTGTGTTTACTGATTGACAATACCATAGCAGCATTGTATGCCTATTGTTATATGGTCTTTGATCATTGTTTCGTATTACTCAGGCTTCATCCACACTCATTAAATCATCAAGCACAGTCAACTGCATTAGGAAACGAGGCTAAGATTTCATTCAGTAATGCATTAGGTAAGTTTAGTCTTCTAAACCTGAAACTCTGCGATGATATTGCTAGTCTGTGCTCAAACGAAGAATAATTTAGGCTTGCAATTTCACCTCTGCTGGTCCAGAAACTCATTACAGTGTGGAAGTGATTGCTAATCAAGATTTCTGGGCTCTGTTTCTTTACCATAAGTCTTCTCATCCCTCCCACTCTTGGTGTTTCATCCCAGTTTTGAGCCATATCAGCATGTCGCATGTCTTGCCATGAATAATAAAATATTAGAGCGAGTTATGTGATTCTTTAAAATATTACCAAATAATCATAAATTAGGTCAAACAATTTCCTTTGGTTAGATTTTCTAATCACGGCATCTTTTTAATGGAGAGTGTTGGCTCATTATCTGTGATCCCATCCTCTCATTGGTCTCTAAAGACTTGAAGGGTACCTTATAATATCTACTTCACAGCTATCCATCTCTGGAACCCTGCCATGGGAACATGGTTAGAGCTAATTGGTATGGAATCTTGGTTAGGGCTGATATAGCATTTATAATTGTTAAAGGAGTATTTCTACCACATTGAGAAATATTGGAGAGAGAATAGCTAAGATGAAATTTAGAATGGAGCCATATGGGAAAAATGTTACATGTATTTTTATTTCTAATTATTTTACAACCATTGTTATTAAAAAACAAAGCTTGCAACATGTCACTAAAATGAAAATAATAACCTATATTTTCAGAAAAATATCATTTATACTTTTTTATTTAAAAAAGAAAAATAGAAAAAAAGAGTAGAAATGATGCAGAATTTAAAAAAATAGCATTAAGAAATCATCTTCTTTCTATACTTGTGTCTATATATTACATATTGTGATATATTACATATTGTGACCTTAGAAGTAGTTGTTCAAGTTACAAAATCAAAGCATACAAAATGAACCGACAAACAATGACAGCACAAACTATTCTGTTTGATGAACAAACAAAAACTTAATAGTATGGTTATCTATTTTGTACACTTATACATACATATAGTTATATGTATAACCTACAAGTTGTTCTTTCCTTTTGAGCATTTATACTTTTATATAATTTGCAACAATATGTTTTCTTGTTATATCTTAAACAGGTATTTATGTTGCAGATTATGTGATGGGACTACTTGTTATATTTGAAGGATTTTGTTCTTTTGATGTTTTCATAACTATATGCTAGCAAAGTATTAAAAACAATATTATAAGTAAATAGTAGGTACATACTCCTAACACATTAGCTATATACTATATATTTTATAATTTATTTTTAAGTGATATCAGAAAAGGTCATTCTTCATTGTCCTCTTTTTTCATACTGGGGATTGAACCCAGGACCTCACACGTTAGGCAAGTACTCTAACACCCATCTACATCCTCAGCTGTTTTTATATATTTATTTCTTATTTTGAATCAGGCCTTGCTAAGTTGCGCTGACCTCAAACTCATGATCTTTCTGCCTTGGTCTCCTGATTAGCTGGATTACAAACATATGCCACAGTAACTAGTCTCCCCAATCTCCTCCTTCTCTCTTCCTTTACTTCTCTTTCTCCTTCCCTTCCTTTCCACTATTCTTTTTTCTTTCTTTCCTTCCTTCCTTCCTTCTTTCCTTCTTTCCTCATTTCTTCTTTCTATACTTGGGATTGAGTGTCTAGGGCCTTAAAAATATTAGGCAAGTACTTATCAGTAAGTTGCGTCCTTAGCCCTGGTTTCTATTTAAAGGAATCTTTAGTGAAGGTTTTTGCAACGCGAATTCCCACCTACTTGCCCACCAGCTGCAGATTGGTTAGAAAGCCATGACACTTTTATATAATGGAAAAGTACTCAGCTATAAAGAAAGATAACCTTGAGGCTGTTGTAGGTAAATGGATACAACTTGAAATCATACTCAGGGGTAAAAAGGTTCAGAGTCACATAGGTGAATAGTGGGTTGCCTCCTTAGTATAAAAACTAAAGGAGTTAGTGGGATCCAAAATGCACAATACCTCCTGTGAAAGTGAAAGGGGAGGAATTGTCTAAAAAGGGAAGGCAGTGCCATTATTAATCTATTATCATAATTTGAAACCCGTATTGTTTTTATTGTTCTTTTAGTTTGGTTTTGTTCTGTTTCAGTTTGTCCAACTGTATTAGATTTGATGGCATGGACAGCTATTCCAAAGATAGCAAGATATACTATGGTAACCATTTTTGATTTCCTATTAGCTTGATTTGAAGCTCTGTATTGCTTTCATTGTTTTGTTTTGACTGATTTTGTTCTATTCTGTTTTGTTTGATAGCATCAGTCTGATGGTATAGGCAAGTACTTTGAAGACAGTAAGATGTATTACGATACCCATTGTGGTTTTACGATTATCTTTTTTTGAAGTCCTATAATGTCTCCATTGTTTTGTTTTTATTGGTTTTGTTCTTTACTGTTTTGTTTGATTTTATTATGCCTGACGATATGGGCAATGCTTTTGAAGATAACAAGAGGCATTACAGTAGCCATTATTGATCTTCTTGTATTTCTTTTTAAGTCATATACCATGGTGATCCTTTTCTTTTGATTGACTGTATTCTGTTTTGTCTCATTTCATTTTCTTCTTTTAAAAATAAAAAAAGAAAATTAAATTCCCACCTACTAATCAGATGGTTATGTGTTGAGTTTGTTTAATGAATGCAGTTATACATAAAATTCAAAGTGGAATTTTAGAATGCAACACAGAGCAATTTGTTATTTTATACAGATTTCAAAATATTGTTTGCCTTAATTTTCAGTGATATTTTAAAGCACACTAAAAGTGTGTGTGTGTGTGTGTGTGTGTGTGTGTGTCTGTGTGTGCTTTAAGTCGTAAGTAAGTATGGAAGTGAGCATCTGTTTAGATGTGAACAGAAGAGGTGGCTTTTAAGCCAAGGGCACTTTGCCCCTTTGACATCCAGGCAGGGCTGCAGGTCTCCTGCACACAGAGGATGAGGCTGCTGGGGTCATAGGCTGAGTGGACCTTGTCATACTTACTGGACTTCTGTCTCCACATACAGAGGCAGGGCTTCTATTTTTGGCTACTCTGGGTTGAAAATTAAAATCATAAGATATTCAGGAATTTTTCTCTTTTAAATTAAATTGATGTTTGGTCTATGTATTAACCAGATTCTGGGATGCTGGAGTTTCGTTTTAGAGGTAATTTCTAGGTCCTTCCTGTCCTGAACAAAGAATTAAACAAGTAAACAAAAATAGTAGCAACATTTCATATTTCTTAGAAAAAAAGCAGAAGGGTAGAGGAAAAATGAGTTCTGCAAAGTGAATTTGGGCCAAGTAAAAAGGGAGAAAAAAAGAAAAATACACCTTAGAGAATAAAGTGGGCTGTCATGAAGAGGCATGATAGCCAAGCTCCTAATGATGACTTTTTCATATTTTTCATGCAGATGTCACACCCAAGTCATCCTATCAAAAACTTGCTTGAGCTCTCTCAAGAAGTCCACATGCAGGGTTCTGAGAGCTTTTGTCACCCTCTGACTCATTTTGAAAGGTGAAAGAAGACTTTTATTGTTCTGAAAGAACTGGGGTAGTCCAAATTGGGGGATGAATTCTTGGAGAAGTGCCTTGACTATCTCCATACCCTTTTCTAAATAAGTAGGAAAGGCTACAGTCTAACTTATAAAGACGTCAATTAGACCAATATCTATTTAAATTCTCCACGTAATGGCACTTGGGAAAGGTCTAATTGTCACTCTTCCCTAGGGTATGTCCTTTTCTTCTGTACAGGTTCTAAAAGAGGTGGTTGGGTTTGCTATGATTATTGTAGGCATGGTGGGCATGCATTTGCAGACCTGTTTGGTGACTGTTGCTAGCCGTAGTCCTATGAAAACTCAGTGACCATTTCCAATGTAGCATCTTTCCTATATGGAAAGAATCATAAAGGGCTTTACATAGCTTTTTACTGTGTCCCTTGAGGGAGAATCAGGTTTTTTTTAAAAAAAGTACCACCACAGTCTCTTTTAAAAAATTCTCCCTTATCCTAAGGCCTATTTATCTTCCTGGATGTGCAAATTGGTTTTAATGGATCTTCAAGAACTGTAAATAAGGCTAGAGTCTTACGGGGTTGTGAAGGTGTCTTTTTTGCTTTGATAGCTGCCTTTTGATTCCCCAAAGATACTTTAGACATGTGTCTTCAGTTCCTCTTATAGTGCATGACTGCAACCTGCTCGGGAAGATAGATTTCCTGTAGGAGTTGAAGAATTTCCCGCTTATGCTTTATAAAAGATGGGTTATTAGGAAGTCTCTTTTCTTTCCAGATTGATGCATAGGCATGTGGCACTAGAAAGGCACATTTGGAGTCTGTATAGATATTTAACTTTTTGCCTTTTCCCAGTATCAATATCCAATTTAGTGCTATTAGTTCTGCCCCTTGAGTAGAGGAAGGAAGAAGTTTGGCTTCAGTGACCTTATTAGGGTTTCTGACACAATAGAAAAGCAAAAGGAAAAGAAAGTGGCCATTGTTGAGGACATGGAGAGGAGCACACAACTCATGGGGGTTGGGCTTTTTTCCTCTGACCAGAGACAAACATGATGGGAGGTTTTATGACCTTTGGTCAGAGGTGGAGTTTGGGGTAGGTGTTGATGATGTGTGAGGAACTGATTGGAATTCTCTTTGTGCACACAGGAAGTGATTGAGGAAGTTGTAATCAGGGCTGAAGGGGAGGGAGGAGGAAGCAGTCTTCAGGGTAAGTGTTATTTTTGCTTTGAACTTCTACCATGTTAGACCACTGCCATAATGTTCAGTAATTTATACTAGGGCAGAAACCTTTCAAAGTTGTAAACTGACAACTGCATAACTTAGCTATTGGTGTCCTCCTTGCATAAAGCTACTTCTGTCAATAAATCATAGCTCCTCAGGATCTTGGAGGGGCAGGTCACTGATGTCTTGCCTCTTGCATAGGTCTGAGAGATCACTTGTTCACACAAGTGGCTAATTTCTGGGCTTGTAGGAATCAAAGAGGCAGGACTAAGAGTACACTGCTTCTTTTATCTTGAAATGGGATTTTCTCATTAAAAGGAAAATAGAAACTGAGAGTCTGAATGTAGAGGAATGGGAAAAATGTATCCTTAACTCTAAGACTGAGAACAAATTAAGAGTTTCCTGGAATTTGGGAGAGAATTGTATAGGAATCTGTTACCAGAGGGCAGATTGGTATGATAGCCTCATTAGTGATGTAGAGGTCTTGTGTAATCCTATACAGTCCTAAAGGCTTTACTACAGAGAATGGGAGTATTGAAAGGCTGTGTTTGGGAGTCAGTCTGTGAGAGACTGATGGTCTTTATGTGCCTCTTTTTTGATAGGATACTGCTTTTGGTTAGGAAGTTGTCATATCAGATATTCCATTACACCATGTAGCAGGATGGTTAATTTGGCTAAGAAGACCTGGTATAGTTTCAACAGGTAAAAATCCATTTTTGACCTATTCTGGAATTTGAGAATTGTCCCCAATTTTACCAATAAATATCTTCCAAGCAAGGGAGTAAGGCACTGTGGGACAATTATAAACTGATGGTTAAACATTTGACATATTGAAAGAGGGGAATAAAACTCCAGGTCTACTATATGTCCCGTACAAGTTTATGGTCTCTAAAATCAAAGAATGAATTTTAGGAACAATGGAGGTTAAATGCAAAAATATTTATTGAGAGAAAGAAAGCTTCTGTCTGAGATAGACAGAAGGAGTCCCGAGTGAGTTGCCAAGGATTCCTTATTTTCTAGGGATTTTTATAGAGTAGAACCATGAGGTGAGGTGACCCTAAAGTGGGGAAAACTAGGCACTCGCAGGACAGATGGGCATGATGTGGGACAGAACTATGATCAACCAATAAGGTTAATTGTTCAGGTAAAACTGACCAAATCAGGGACAAATAGGAAAGCGAGTCATATAGCAAGCAAGCATTCTCATGGATCAATGACTCTTTCTGTAGAGGGATGGGATGGTAACTCCTGGATTTTCAAGGTGATCCATGCTTAACCCCTGAGGTTTATACTTAAGGGTGTATTGCGTTTGTTTTGCCTTCTGTCTTGAGATCTGGCCCACAGCAAGAGGTGTGTGTCTCCTCCAAGGTCACCAGACATTTGATCCTCTGTGCCAGCTTCTTCAGGGACCTAGCCCTGTCTCATTGTCTATATTTCTAACTAGTTCAGCTGCCTATAATAATATCACAGCAGGAGTAAAGAATCTCTGAGCAAGTCTTGCTTGACCCTAACTATGGCTATAGATCTAGTGAAGGATTTCCCAGTGAAGGAAGTCAAAACTAAATAAAATAACTGAATTGGTTCACATCAAGCATCACGAAGGTTTCCTTATAGAAGATGGTAATAATATTTGCAGACAATGGCATTCTAGGTTCCCTTAGTTGGAGTAAGAAGTGACAATTTTGGCTTGCCTTGCTCCTCTCTGGGAGCAGGGACAGTCAACCCTCCAGTGCCATGAGTCAGGTACATTTGTTGTTTTGTTCTCAGAGCAGGGCTCAGGCAATAGCTTGGTGAAATCATGTATCCACTGTTAGAGTTTTCTGGCACAATAGAGAAACAAAAGTACAAAAAAGAAAAGAACCGTTTTATTGAGGACATAGAAAGGAGCACACAACCCATGGCAATTTGGTTGTCTCCTTTGACCTGATACAGAGAGGCAGAGGGTTATATGACCTCTGATTGGATGTGGTGCATGAAGCAGACATTGATGGTGTGTGAGGAACTGATTGGAATTTTCTTTGTGTGCAAACAGGAAAGGGATTTGAAATTAGGGCTGAAGAAGAAGGAAGTGGTAAGCATTTCTACCTTGACCTTCCCCATGTTAGATCACCACCATAACTGTACAGTAATTTATACTAGGGCAATAACATTTCATCCACTATGCAGACTTCTTTGCACTTAAAACAGCAATCTCAGTTGTCATTTTTTTCCCTTAGATGACCTGGGTAAATTTAAATCATTGCTAATTGCAACAACTATAATTCTAGCTTTTCTCTTTTGATCCTCACCCAGATCCTGATTGTCAAACATAGAAAAGGCCATGTCCTGCAAGTGGGTCAGAGGTGTCTGGCTCCCATTCTGAAGTTTCTTCATAAACAGATATGAGAGACTCATAGTCACATGAGAGGTACATATAAAAAATGTGACATGTCCAAATTACTCAATTCCCAGGACTGGGAAAAAAAAAAGAGAGAGAGAGAGAGGTTCAGAATCCACCTTTCTAGCAAGAAGTATTCTGCACCTATTTTTCCTGGTGCCTGCAGTTAGACTGTTTAGGAGAGAGTTACTGACACAAGCTGATTTTCGAGGTCAGGAACAAGGTCTCTGAAGCATAACACAAAGCACCTAACACAGTAGGTACAAACATATTGAAAAATCATGGGGTGCATATCATGATGGTGCAAAGTATGCTACAGCTTCATTTTCTAAAACACTCCTTTACTCTGGGCCTGACAAGGATGAAGAATAGGTCTTACCACAATAGAGCACAAGCAAAGGCCACTCAAGAAAGGAAACAGATTTCAGAGGTGACTCATAAACAAAGCACTACCTTCAGGAAAATAAAGAAGCCATCCATTACCCACACAGAGTGCATAATAATGACAAGTGCTTCATCACCTCATGCTTGATGGCTAGAGGTCAGAACTCTCAAAAGGGAAACACTGCAAAATCTCACACTTTAATCAGAATAGGTTGTACCTAAATCAAAGAACTGTTATGTCTTTGGAGAGATTTAATTTATTCCCTGCCTTTAGATTCCCAACTATTGCCATTATTAAGTAGGTTTAGCGTTCAATAATTTTACTATTTAAACATATCTACACTAACTTAATTACCCCTATTGACTTAAAATGAGAAAGTTGATGACCAGCTCATAAAAGATCTGCCCTGAAGCTTTTTACTCAATGGAAAATGATTAGAGGAAACTATTGTATATTTCCACTATTATTAATACCCAAAGCAGAATAATTCCTTCCTAATTTAGTATATCTAAGAAAATGTTCAATTTCTTTTCATCACAGTTTATAAGATTTTATTTCATAATACCTTATAGCATTCATCCATTTTTAAAAACAATTATTTATAGATTTCTTACTATTTGACAGGGACTATTCTGTCTGTTAGGGTTTAACTAAGACTGTCTTGAAGGTAATCATATTCTAATGTGTGTGTGTAGCAGAATTTAAATACCAACGATAAAAGCAAATATATAATATGTCAGATGGTGGTAAACACTCTGAAAATGATAAAACAGAGTAAGGGTAGATAAAGAATTAGTGTTAGGGACATTATTTTATACAGAATGATTGGGGCAGTTGTCATTAATTGAATAAAGAGAGGTAGTGGCCACGTATTCTACTGAAGAGTGAAGAGTTGAATTTATCCCTCCTTCCATTCAGATACAGTCCTGGATAATTATATGTAAATTGAATTTCATTTTAAGTTTTGTATTAATCTGTTTCCCACTGACACAACAAAACACCAGGTAATCTGCAAAGAAAAGAACCTTGTTTTACATATAATTTTGGAGGTCCAAGCAGCATGTTTGAAAGACATCACATGGTGAGGCAGGAAGCAATGGAGTAGGAAGGGATGTCTTACTCTTTTATAATAACCCACTCTTTCAGAAATAAGCTTGCTCTGAGAGACCACCTTAATGCCATCCAAGGGCAGAGCCCTCCATGACCTAATTACCTGGCACTAAGCCACCTTTTAAAGGTCCCACTATCTGTTAATTGTACCTTGTTGAAGATCAAGCTCCTAGCACACGAACATTTGAGTCATCACATTCAAATCATACCCAAATAATAGCCAGTATATTATGGAAGCTTATTATAACTACTTTGTGTGGTGAATCTCTTTAAATGAAGATTCTATTAATAAAATACTTTATTCCTTAAACATGATCTATATTGTAAGCACAACTTTCTATGTCCTGAATTCGTGCTAAGATGATTATATATGCTTAGGATAAAGTGTTACAGATAAATGATGAACAAGAACAGTTATGAATTGGTGAAAACTTTGGATAGAAATTCTAAAATACTTATTTTAAACCATGTATAATTATAAGCCAGTCGACAATACTGCATAGTATTACAGTACTTCTTTGAATTAATAATCAGAATGCTTTAAATTTAGCATAGGCAAATTACAAAAATGCTCTCAAAATTTCTGAGAATTCTTAAAAATCATTCTTTTGATTGGTTTAACATTCTCATTGTACTCTTATTTAAGATGTGGTAAAAACACACATTTTCACAACTAATGCAAACATAGTGTACCCCTCATCAGGTTATCAGAATTTCCAATTAAAGGTTTAAATCTATAAAGTCATGCTCTGATCTTCCTTAAGTATGCCTCTTTTGACCTCTTGATCAGGTTTCCATTAGTGTGACAAAATACCTGAGGTAATCATTTAATAATGAAAAAGGTTTATTTTGGCACTCACTTTAAGCTTTTGGTCCCCGCTTGTTTGACATTGTTGTGTTGGGCCTAAGGCAGTCCCACATCCAGCAAGAGTGTGTGATGAAGGAAGTCTATTACTTCAGAGGAACCAGGAAACAAAGAAGGAAGGGAGGGAATAGTATCTCACAGTTCCCTTCAAAGTCATACTCCCAAGGACCTAAAACCTCTCACTTAGGTCCCTCCCAAGTTCCACCACCTCCCAGTGTTGCCAAATTGTGGACCAAGCCTTTGACAGAT